CCCCAAAACCCCAAAACCCCAAAACCCCATGCTACTAAAATAGCATTAAGATAATCAACCAGATTCTAGATTAAAATAAATAAATATTAATGCAAGAGATTGATTAGGATGATCTTCATTTAGATCATGAAAATGAAGTTATAAATCTCAAAAATTGGACTCCAGCTAATTAATTAATGCGTAAGGAATCTTTGAAATCACCAAGACTACTGGGTAGAAGCATATCTTAGCTCGGTAAATTTGATGTAGACCACTAGTTTCTAAAATATGTAGAAGAAACTACTTCTCATACATTGAATCTCTCCCCTGAAATAGTAGCTAAAGACCTTCTTGTCAAATAAAATGAACTTTTAAAGTCTCCACTAAGATAATTACAGTCTTTATACAGAAGGACTGAATAGAAGTAGTAAGTATTTGGTCAGCTATAAATTTAGAATCAATAAGAATTGAGGGTTGGATTGAATACCTAAGCAAATAGTAAGGAAAGAGCATAGAACAAACTCTAGAAATTGAATAAAGTTTCACAATTTCAGATCAATACCTAATTCTTAGCTGTTCCAGGCATGAATGATCAAAGATTGTAGTCTTAAGAGTCTAGAAGTACTCTTGCAACTTCCTGATCATCCTAAGCATGAACTCCTAGTAGCATTTAATTTAATGAAAAGCAGGATGTATTGTAGTAGGTAATTGATAACACATAAATAAACTCAGTCTTAAAGAAGAAACCTACTCTGATTTTAAAAAAAGCATAAGTGCAATTTGAAAGAATTGATTCCACTAACAGCAATATTAGTTTAAGACCTTAACTCTCTAAATAAACTACGATATCACCAATATCAATAAATTAATAATCCAACAAGAAAATAGAAGTGAAGACTTAAAGTTTTGATCATCATGTCAATGGATAGCAAATAAAAGAAGTCATGAAAAATGTGAATTTATATGTATCTCAAATCTGGAATGATAATAAGACTCTTGTTTAACTAGACAAAAAACTATAGACAAAACTTAGAGAAATAAGCTTGAACTATGAAATAAGTCTGGAGTTGATGTGACAGGAACTTATTAAAATAAGAGATCTAAAGGAGAAAGAGCTTAAGAATCTGAGAGAACTTATCGGAAATTTTAAAATCTAACACCGGAGTTTGATAAAGCTAGTTAGCTAGATTCAGAATGATCTTTAAGAGGAGATGAAGATGTAAAAGTGCATGTCTACTCCCTCAAAGATAAAAGAGAAAAAATCCTTTAGCTTTAAACATCATAGTTCTCAAATAGATTTACAAGAGAAAATAAGTGGCAACTTCCAAAGACAACTTCTCCAGAAAAGAAGAACTTAAGAACTTGATCAAAATAAGCTTAGTCTTGAGATTTAATTATATGATATCCAATAAAAGCTGATTCAATTTAATAAAGCTGATAAGGCAATATAAAACTAAATAAAGTACTTGGAGAAAGAGATTAATCAAGTAAGGAAGAGGCAAGTAGCTCATTATTATGAACTGCTTAAATTAGGTTTAGAAGGTAGAGACTAAGGACTTATTTGGATTATTTAAAGTTTGTGGAGACTGCATGAACCTTAGATAGAGATCAATAATTTTGCTGAATGGCTTGACTAGATGTCTAAATCATTTCTATTAGATGTAAGTAATTTAGTCGAATTTTATTGTGTATTATAGTAAGCTAAGTACTGTATGTTAATTGAGCAAAAGCATAATGAATTGAAAGAACTGATGGCATAGAATAAAAATGAGCATTTCAAATAGATTGTTCAAGATAAAGCAATAAACTTCACCAGAAATAAAGGACATTAGAGATATAGATCACTCGACACATATTAGCTTATCATGAATGATCAGAAAATTTAAAAACAGAAAATTTAGAATGCAGTGGGATAGCTTGGTCAAATGTAATCTCCAACTTTTCTGTGCCCTGACAAAGATATCAATCATACAAATCTTCTCTTTTTAGAAATGTTTAAAGATGAGTTGTTCAATTAGAAAAACAGATATGAAATCGATATTGGAAGTATAAATGGTGATTAAAAATTTCAAAGTAGCGTTAACTCAGCTATACTAAAGATGATGAGCAAAGATAAAAAGAACCATGAGGAATAGGAGGAGATATTTAATGAGAAGATACAAAAAATTAGAGATGAGATAAAAGGATTTGAAAGAAATTTATAGTAAAATATAGACTTTGAGGTTTAGAGAATCATTGGTGAATACAATCGAAGTGAAAACAATGTGAAGCACAAAGTCTCACTCAAAATAATGCTGCAAGCTCTAGTAGGAACTACTTAAGCAAATCAAATCGTAAGGAAATATGATGTTGATAAGCTTAGGTAACATAATTCAGTATAGATTGAAACAAATAACCTTATGAGAAGTATAAAGATAGCTTAATAGGGTTGTCTTACTACCAGAGTCTGAAGTCAATGTCTTATAAGAATCTTTAAGTTTAGATTAATAAATGATTCTTTAAATTTTAATTTCATAACTCTTCATTAATAACAATTTAAAATAATAAAATAAACTATGAATTTAGATGGAAATGTGAGAACCACGGGAGACTTGTAGAAATAAAACACAAATGCTGTTGCCACAATAATAGGGCTTGGAGTGGGAGATGTGACACTAACCCTCGAAAAACTGTTTCCTATACCTTTATAACCAGATACATATATTAAGAACTCAGTTGAGAATTTAGCAATATAATCATCAGCCAAAAAGACTAGGTAAGATTGTTAGCATAATTCAACTACAATAAACTTTAGATTTTACAACCTACTCAAAAAAGCTTCTAATTAAACTTTTGAAAGTTTATTCTGGATTGTATTCGTCATGGTATTTTAGCAGTAGAACAAAGAAGATATCAAAGATAGATTAAAATAGATTTTCAAAGAAAATTATGGCAAATTTTTCATTGAGCTATCTACTAAAGAAAAAGATTAAATCTTGCCAAGGTTAGTAAACTAAAAAAGTTTATTAATAATCAATATAGAATGCCTTTAATTTACGGTCACTCTTTGATAAAGGCATTTTTCGATGTTTTTCAAAGTTCTCGCATGACATTCAATAAAATATTCGGGCTGAAGGTGTTTAGATTGGTATTTTTTGAATTTCAGGGTATTATTGTTAGTGATGTGTACATCCAAAATAATGTGCAAAAGGGCTTTTCTGATGATCTATTCTCTTTTCTAGGAATTGCTGAGTAACATAAAAGATTTTTATAATTTAATAATTTAGGGTAGGGAAATAAAAAAGCAAAATATATGTCAACAAAGATAAAAGTAAGAAAAAGTTTTCTTAGAAAGCTAAGTAGACATCTGATGATACAAATCCAGTTAATCAAGAAATATTACAAAAAATGAGTGTAAGTATTGAACTATTCCTATTTATTTAAAGAAAATAGTAAATTGAGTTTGGCGAAGAGTTTTATAAGGAAATGAATAGGATTTACAATCCAAAAAAGATTGAGAAATTGTTACAAAAGAAAAATAATTTGATGAAAATGCATGAAGCACTAAGCAAGAAATAGAATGATGAGCACAATGATGAGGACGAAGACGAAGATAATGACGCAGATGGTGGTTCTCCATAGCCTTTAAGTTCATCAATTAATAAAAAAGGTATATCCAAAAACTAAGATGAATAAGAACTTAGAATAGACGATCAGGACACAGTGCCAGCTGGTATTTAAATTAATAGTAAAATGAACTCAAGTAAAAGCCAAATGATGTTTAGACAGTCAACTTAAAGCTAACTAAAAACTTTATTAGGAATTTCTGGATAATAGGGCTTCAACACATAGATGGATATGTATAAGACGGCTACTTCAAAATTTAAATCACCTTAAAATTCAGGAGTAAGATCTACCTTTAGACTTCCATTGGATGAAGAGTATATTTTAAATCCCCCGTAAACAGCAAATAATAAAAAAAGGAATTTATACTCATTCTTAGATAAGCCAGTTAATCCTGTCAAAAGATAAGAAATATTCAGCTGCACTAAATTGTCTCCATTCATGCAAGATTTATACAAATTTGAGGATGTCTATTCCAAGATAAATGTGAAATTCAATTCTACTAATAAAGAGATTAAAGAGACACCGAGAGGCCTTAAAACTTTTGAAACCTAATAGAAAATAAAGATACAATCTAAGTAGCATCTCACGAAAATTATAAAGTAAAGTAAAATGAATTAGGAAGATCCTGACCCAGATGAACAGAAAAAAAGAAAAAGATTTTTGAAGAGTGTTACTGAAGATGACCCTTTTGCTTTTACTGGAGGATAATAAACTCAACCCAACATTACTAAAATAAACCCTCTATTAAAGCCAGTATTTAATCTGAAATATTAATTAAAGACCAAAATTTAAGATCCCTCTAGATATATTTAGTTTGCAAAGTAATTAGAGGAGAGAAAAGTTATGAAAGATTAAGGAGGAGGCGGAATAGTCAAAGTTTAGTAAAACTAGATAGCTAACTTAAGTGATAATGAATACAATCAAGTGGCTAAAAATATCGATGAGGAGTTTTAGGAATACAAATATATAGCAGTTAATAGTAAAGAGATTGATGAAACAAAGTTTAGATTGTCAAGAATGAATGGGGATTTCGGAACATTCTTAGTTTAGGATGTTTATGGAAATATGAACTTTGAAAAAGGAAGAGCTATTGAGATGCCAAGAATTAACACTCTCTAGGAATACGAGGATGAGAAGAAAAAGATTAAAGAATTGAATAAAGTTATGAGTGCTGGAGCTCTCTTTCCAGGAACTGTAAATAACAAACTTTAAACTGAGACAGGCCACGGGATAAAGTAGAATGGACTAAATTTGACTAAAAACTAGTTAAATAAAACTTATAGCATGATGAGAAGGCATATTTATTAAGGTACTGAATACAAAGATGGAAAATAGATTAATTAGGAAGAAAAAAGTAGATTCTATTAAGACCTTGAAAAAAAGAATCAAGCAATACAGTTATCAGTGAAAAAGGCCAGTAAATATGAACTATGATAAAAAAATAAAGAGGCATGAATATAAGTTAATTTCATTATTAGTATTAAAGTAGTCATTTACTAAGCAGGGGTTTTGGGGTTTTGGGGTTTTGGGG